AAAATATTATCTCCCCTGATTTTCTTTTTTCTGTTATTAAATAATTGTATTCTTGCAAATCAAACAAATGAGAAAATACATAAATCAGATACATAACAAACAAATATTGACATTTTAAATAAATATTGAAAGTATGGCTAAAGGATCCTATTAAATGTCAAAACATTGACGTTTTGAAAATTTTCCCTTATTAATATAGGATAAAAATAATATAATCTACACTCCACCGATAATTAATTTGGGGATAATGTATAACGATTGATGAACAAGTTATATACACATTTAGGGATTTAGATGGTTGAATTGGGATTTACATGGTATAAGGTTTGATTTTGGGCTATAATTTGGGTGGTTTTTAATTAGCTAGATGAGTCTTTTAAGTATGGGTAAAAATTAAATAAATATCGGGTAGGCTTTTAGGATTGAGACACGTGTTCCCCTGTTAGAGTGAATGACACAAATGCTCTACTTTTTGGATGACAGAGACTCTAGTGTCAAAATAGTATAATAAAGAGGTTTCGTATATTATTTTCGATAGTTCACGAGTATATTTATATTTTTTCCATGATTAATGACGTATTGAATAGACTTTGAAATTTGATTTAACCTTTAAAAATAACAAAACGATAACATATTTTAGTATTTCATTTACAATGTTTCTCTTGCACATATACCCCTTTACATCCATACCCCACTAAATAATTACACTATATATCCCCAACTAATTTCACATAACTGTTCTAAAGCAGTATCATATAAAATATTGGTATCAGAGTTGGCAGTGCCAACTCCAATGGACAGATATGGTTTTTTTGGAGGGATAATTTCAAAGCAAATCAGAACAGCTTTCTCAAGATCTTGTAAGCTCAAGTAAGACTTTTGACTTAAGATTGCTAAGAGAATGAAAAAGAAAAAAAAACGAGAGTTTTGAAAGAAGGCTTTATATTGTTTGGAAGATTGCTTACAATTTGAGTGATGAGTTTGCAAATGAGAGGCCCTCTATTTATACTAATATACTTTCTATGGGCCTTAGTGTAAATAATATTACAATACAAGTCCCTCTATATTTACAATTTGGTCCACATTTTAGAATTCTCAACACTTTTTAGGGAATTCTAAAGTCGTAAAAATATCTAGGGGTTCTAGAGTTCTCCATAAGCCTCTTTACAACTCTAGATTCTCCTCCCCTATTTCGATGCTGAATTTGAACAATGAATTGGTGGGACATGACATTAGTCCTAGCATGCAGACCAGATAGCAACACGCTCAACTACTGGGAAGTTTGAGGCTTCCAGAGTTGAGATGCTTAGACTTGAAGGATTCAAACTCAATGAGGAAACCCACTTTGTTGACTGTCCAAACTAGAAGAGTTGATTTTGAATGAGTGCTGCATAGGTAGTATATGGAAAGTTAAAGATGTCATAATACATTTTTCGAAACTGAAAATTCTAAAAAGTAGGCATTGGTCACCTACATATGGAAGATATCAAATTTTGGTCATGACACCTAAACTGACAGATGTTCAGTATATTGGACCACCGGCTACAATGTTGTTACAATAGAATGTGGACTGTTTAAACACTCTAAACATTGGGTTGAGATATTGTCGGAGGGCCTGATTTCGCAACAATACCAACAGACAAATCAGAGTTATTGATTACCAGAAGAGGGCAGAGGAAAAGGTCCCAGAAGATTAAAAACTTCATTTTTCTTTAGTTCTAAGAGAGTTTGTAAGTATTAATTGTTCCCATCTCTAGTTTTAATATTAATTCTTGAACAATTCATGTTGTTATTATTTCTGCAACTGATCTTGTTTCGATATGAATTATGGATATAATACATATTTTTCTTGAATGACTCCAACAGACAAATACGGTTTTTTTGGAGGGATAACTGCGTTGTTTCAATTATTCAGAAACATGAGCAACATATAACTCTTTAGTATCAAAGCAAATCAGAACAGTGAGGAACACTTGCTCACTAATCTGGAAAAAAAAAAGACGAGAGCTTTGAAATAAGGCTTTGTATTGCTTGGAATAATAATTTGAGTGATGAGATTGCAAATGCGAGGGCCTCTATTTATAGTACTCCCTAGGGAGCCTTTGTGTAAATAATATTTACAATACAAGTCCCTCTATATTTACACTTTGGTCCACATTCTAGAATTTCTCTACTTTTTTTAGGAATTTCTAAAGCCTTCTTAAAAATATCTAGGGGTTTCTAGAGTTCTCAATAAGCCTCTCTACAACTCTAGATTCTTTTCCCATATTCCGGTGCCAAATTTGCACAGTAAAATGGCGTGACATGACATTAGTCCTAGCATGCAGGTCAGATAGCAATGCTCAACTCCCGAAAGTTGTAGGCTTCCTGAGTTGAGATGCTTGAGACTTGAAGGATTCGAACTCAATGAGGAAACACATTTTGTTGACTGTCCCAAACTAAGAGTTGGTTTTGAATGAGTGCTGCATAGGTAGTATATGAAAATTTAAAGATGTCATAATACATTTTCCGAAACTGAAAATTCTAAGAATTAGGCATTGGTCACCTACATACGGAAGACACCGGATTATGGTCATGGCACCTAAGCTGACGGATGTTCAGTAAATTGGACCACCGGCTATAGTGTTGTTACAACAAACTGTGGACTGCTTAAACACTCTATACATTCTGTCGGAGGGCCTGCTTTCGCAACAATACCAACAGACAAATCAGAGTTATTGATTATCAGAAGAAGGCAAGGGAAGAGTGCCTAAAAATGATTTATAGCGGACGCCAACTGACACAAATCGACATTAATGAAATACAAAATATGTTGATGAGGGTGGCTCCCCAGGCACACCTCATACTTGATACAACAAGTAAGTGTATCATGATGACCCTAGCAACTTTATACTAGGGGAAAAAAAATTATTAGTTGATTTTTTTTTTTCCAATAGTGACAGGATCAGATGATGAAGGTGCAGGAGGAAGACAAGAATGATCCAAGCATGCTGGTGTAGAAGTGTGGGGGCCAAGTTACAAAGCCGTTATGTAGTGGTCTAGATAATTCTAACGGGTATAAATGTGCTATTGAAAGGAATGCTCAACATAGGATAATGTTGTTTTTTTTAGTATTAGAATGCACTATTTTGTACAGCAAAACAAGTTCTAAGCAGCTGGAAAAAAATGTAATATCTCTTTACCTATTAGTTGCAATTTCTATAGAGAATTGAGTGGAGCTGAATCTCCATGATAACATCTAAGCATTCCATTTTGGTCCCAAAGGAGTACATTTTTCAGATGTTGTCTTGCATCAGGATACTCATAGAGGAACAATTCAGTATCCCTTGCTATATACAAAACCTTTTTTCTGTCCTCTTTTGCAGAGATTGTGTTGCTCCTAAATCTGTTTTTTTTTTCTCCTGTGAATGGGAACGAGAACGATTTTCTTTACATATCTCTCGATGAGAATATTATTTCTCTTATTATTTGACCAGTTATTTTCAACTTGCAATTCTCTTTACTGAGTTTCCAGTATTCAAACTCTCTTGTTCCAGTTACAAATTCATGATAAAACATTTGCATAGATTAGGTAATTGGTATTTATGAGTCCAGTCACCACAAAGAATCAACAGAGAACAATCATCTATCTCTAAATCCATTTTTATCTCTACACAACTCTCCATATTCTCCGTGTCTTTTTCTTTTGCCATTTTGTCTTCAGCAATTTTGTCTACATGATGAAAAGGAACAATATAAGGTTATATCATACTGTAACACCTCGGATTCGAGAAAAAGGCAAAATAACAGTTTTCAGCAATAGTTGGTGCCATCCAACGGAAGCCAACCACGTCCCGTGGACAGGACCACGGACCGTTGGTGTGGTCTGTGGATTGGTCGCCCAAAAATGCTTAAAAGCCAGAACCCCGGCCTGTACCAACGGACCGTCATTGGGTTCACGGTCCGTGGATCATGACCCCAAAATCTAGTTTCTGAAACCCCAAAATCTAGTTTCTGAAACGAACGACGGTCGTGCAGGACGGACCGTCGGTCAATTGAGGCCCGTCGATGGTAGGTCGGCGGTTATTTTAGAGGTAATTGAGTCTTTCCTAATTATTTTATCCCTATACTTCGTCGTCTTACCCTTCACCAAAACCCCTATATAAGTTATTTTAATCCCAAATTCTATTCAAAAACTACATTCGCTTCAAATTCACCCGAAGAAGTTGAGTCTCTCTCCCAAGGATATTTCTCTCTCTAAAAGCTTGAAGAAAAAGATTCAAGCTAGGGTTCAAGATCAAGACTTCATTCTTCAATTGCTTTGGGCTTTTATAGTAAGATATGATAGTTTTCATCCATGGATTCCTTCCATTCGTAAAGTTCTCAAATTCTCCTATTTTTAAAAAGTTAGAAATCCTCAATTTAAGATCATAAATAGAGAACTCACAAAATTCACCTACTTCAGAGTTATATGAGTCGAATAAACATAATCAAGCATATGACTTAAGACAGAGGAGAAATATAAAACTCGACTTATTGTCAAGGGGTATACACAATAGGAAGTGATTGACTATGACAATTGACAAGACTCTCACATGTGACGTGAAATTACCTCAATTTTGACTATTATTGATGGATATCTATAAACTATAATTACATTAAGAGAATGTAAAAACAATCATTCTCGATAGCGAACTACATGAAAAGAATTGGCTTGAAAGAACTTCAAAATATCATCAAATGGCCACAAACATATAGTTTGTAGACTTTTATAGTCGTGTTAGACATTGTTCCAAGACTGCAAAATAAGTAAAGTTTCTTATGCCAAGTATGGTCGGCGTATTTCAATACAAGATATGTTTGTTAGAGAAAAATTAGTAAATGTTCAAAAATTGTTGCTGAGAGATTTACTTCAAATTAACTACCTCATAACTGATATGATTATTTACATATTAATTACAACATCAATACATAAAACTTTATAACAATTGCAATTAGTAGATGATATGTCTATATTTTAATGTACATGATATAGAGAGTACTTCTTTAGTATACTGCTTTAGTTGACGATTTCTATTCCAATATAAGACATTTTTCCTGCATGGAGTTGAAGAGCAACGTCCCCAACAACCTATAATTTAAGAATTTCATGTATCAGATACAAGAATATACATATATATTTTCTTTGCCTCAAATTAACTGTCGTATTTCTTTTTTACAATCACACACCATAAGAAAAAATTAATCAGGAGAGGTTTTTCTTTTTAAACTATTTTTTACCTTTATTTATGTTGTAAAATATAATCTCTCTTCGTTAAATATTTATTCGAGGTGTGTGATTTTCAAGAACAATTACCATTAAGAATAAAGTAGGGAAAAATAATTCATTTTGTCTTGGACTTCTAAAATTGACAAATAATTTGGGAAAAATCACGACAGATAATTTGAGACAGATGAAAATAGATATAGCGGATGGAATGAGACACATACTTTGGCCATGTATCTAAAGGAGGATTGAGTGACACCAGCTACATGAGGTGTAATTATAACATTAGGAAGTTGAAGAATTGGATTAAGAGGATCAAATGGTTCAGTCCAAACAACATCAATTCCTAATCCTCCCAAATGTCCCAATTTAAGATTATTATAAACAGCCTCATAATCTAAAACACCACCTCGACCTATATTAATTAAAAGGGCACCCTGCATTAACCAATATTAAAGAAACTCATTAATCACACTTAGCTTGCCAAATATCATCATATATTATCACATACTAGTATTTTATATTTAACAGACTAAAAACATACATTAATTAATTAAATGTTAAATATGCTCACCAAATATTACAAGAGTATAATTATATAGATATCCTTTTTATTTGTTAATCAAAGGGTAAATATGTTTAATTCACCAAATATTATAAGAACTAAAACCATTTTTTTTTTATCAATAATTGAGGACCAAAAGGTACAATTATATCCCTTTTATTTGTTTAACTAATTTGTCTTTAATACGTCTCATCAAATACGTGCTTTTATAAATTTTGTTTTAACAAAGGGTGACAATGAGATTCGATCTTGTAACATTATTGCGGAGAAACCTACCTTTTTCATAGCAGATATGAAATCGTTATTCACTATGCCAATCTGCAAGTGACCAACATACTTTAATTAAGAAAATATCGAATTCAATTATCAAATGATCACTCAACTAATAATTATTATCTTGAAATATTTTTTTTATTTTCATTTTTCTTCAATAAAACAAATGACTTTCTAATAATTACTATTAGCTGAGTGACCATATAAAAAATCAACTTATATATTTTCGATTGACGGAAAATAATAAATTAATTTCATTCTCAATATAAAAATAAGAGTCTCACAGTTTCAGTAGTCATAGGTAAACAAGAGACAACAATATCAGCTTTACTTGCAAACTTTAAAATATCATCATGGCTTCCTCTCTCATCAACCATTTCAGCAAATGAAGCAGCATTTCCAGTTTCGCCACTTGGAATTTTAGCCACCTTTATTCCTTGTTTTGTCGCAGCATTTATGTCAACACCTATATTAAAATAATTATAACAATGAAAAATTTAATCAAACAAAATTAATTTGGGTAATAACTAAACTAGAAGGGAAAAATAGGGAGAAAAATTAAAGAAAGTTGACCATCGAGCCCAACTCCAAATTGCATTATGAGCTTCATGTTCTTGGCACGAGAGATGACATCAGAGTTCATTTCAAAGTTTTTAACCACACAAATATCATAGTCACCAATCATAGCAGACACATTCTCAAATGGAATATCATCAATCTACAAATTAAAGTGACAAATACTAATTAATTCACTACTTAAAAACATGAACTAACGACAGATAAATTTTACAGTACCTGAACCATTGGATAGTCTTTCAAGTATTCTTTTGTAAAATTCTGAGAATCAGGAAAGTGAGGTCCACAAAATAGAACACGAGTAACATGATTCAACGACGTGTTTGCCCCTAAAAAAAAATTGTAATAGTTAAAGGGGCCCTAGTTAAAGACTACATAACGATGTAGTAATTGTTTGAATAAAAGTTCTAGTTAAAAAATAAATAATTTAACTCGCCAAATAGTAAGTGTAAAACAATTCTGGACAAGTATATTAAAGTACAAACAAATGGTAATCATAAACAAATTAAATGTCCTATTTATCGACAAAATAGTACTACTAATATCTTTTTTGTCCTTTGAATCACTTACTGAACCAAAAAGAAATTGCCCTTTAGTAAAAAAAAAAAAAAGTATAATTGTGATTGTGTAAATCATGATAAATCAATTGGATTCACTATCTACTTCAACTTTTACCTTGTTGACGGAAAATCGATTCTTCAATTTGTAATCTCCTCACAGTTCCCTTCTCCATATGTTTAATGAAATTTAGAAAGCAAGATCTGTAGATATTAAGACCAAAAAAAATTAATTTAAACACTAAAATGGATTCACCAAATTGAGTTAGTGAGAAAAAATAATGTTGCTTCCCACACTATTGGATAACAATCACATGAATGCTTATGATATTTCATTCACTTATAAGCTTGTGATAGGTAATTCGATACTCCCCGTTCTTATTTAGTTGTCATCATTTTTAATTCATATCCCTTGAGAAACTAGGTAACTTTATCATTATATCCTAGTTTAGTGTTCTTTAAAGTCAAGTTTTCAATAAATGAACATGAATTGGTTTATTTTGATTACAACTAATTTGACCAATGAACATAAATTAATTACTTAATTTTCCTATGTTGGTTAAATACATATTTTTAAGACAAATAACTCTCGAGGATAAAATAAGAAGAATAATATTATTTATGCATTGATTTTGTGAATGACAAGTATTAAAAAATATTTATTTTTAATAAGCACAACAGTTAAATAGAAACAGAAAGTATATGCGCAATTGCGTATGCCATGGAACAATTAATACTACATAATCAGGGGCGGCTCAAACCCATTGGTGGCCTAAGGCCAAAATCAAACTAGAGGCCTTAAAAAAAAATTATAAATATTTTTATTTTAAATCTATTTTTCTAGCTTTTTGAGATACAAAGTTGTTAATAATTTTTGTGTAGTCAATATCTTCTAATAATTCCTTTTCAATAGATAATATAGCCAAACCACTTAATCTTTCTTGAGACATTGTCGATCTTAAATAAGATTTTATTATTTTTAATTTTGAAAAACTTCTTTCGGTTGAGGCGACTGTTACGGGAATTGTTAACATTATTCTATAAGCAATGTAAGCATTTGGAAAAGAATCAAGTCTTTTTATTTGATTGAGTATCTCAATTAGAGTATTGTCTTCTACTTTTATGATTTCCCTTAACACTTTTAATTCAGAAAATAAGTCTAAACCGTCAATATCGGAGTGAGTATTATGTTTTAAGGAACATTCAAGATTAAAACAATATTTTTTTAAATTTTCATCATCTAATGATCTCAATTTTTTCCCACTAAATAGAAGACCAAAAATATTTTCATATACTTCAAATTGTTCAAATCTATTTTGAAGTGAAAAGATGGCTTGGTCTACTATATATAAGAAGTAATCAACTCTAAATGATTCTTCAAGAGATCTTGTGATTTCATTATCAACATTCTCATCAAATTGTTTTTTTCTATAAATTACACGTTTCTTACGAAATACGGGTTCAATATTCATCTCTAATGCAATTTCCTTAGCCGAAATCATAGCACTTGTAAATCCTTCTTCTCTATATGTTTTAAAAAAAGAAACTAAACCTCTTAATTGATCTATAGCGACATCAATATGCATATCTTTTGATTGTAAACTTTTGCTAATTGAATTTACAGCAAATAGTACATCATACCAAATAGTCATACCCAATAAAAATTCAAAATTTTCAAGCTCAAAAATTGCTAAACAATTAGCTTCACTTTTAATTTTTTGATCATCACTAACCTACTTTAAATAAAGCATTTCTTATTTGTGGAGTTTGAAATCTTATTGCTTTAACACTTTCAATACGATTTTTCCACCGTGTTTGTGACAATGATTTAAGAGTTAAACTAGGTACACTATCTTTTAAAATTTCCACTGCTTAGTAGACGAAGAAAATAGTGAATATATACGTTGTACCACTCCAAAGAATGATATAGCTTTCGTACAAGAATTAACCATATCACAAAGTACCAAATTTAGATTATGACAACCACATGGTGTATAAAATGATCTAGGATTTATATCAAGAAGTCTTTTTTGCACTCCTTGGTGTTTTCCCTTCATATTAGACCCATTATCATATCCTTGTCCTCTTAAATTATCAATATCAAGTCCAATACATTTTATTTCATCTAAAATAACTTCAAAAAGACCTTTTCCACTTGTATCATCCACTTTTAAGAATTCTAAGAAATATTCGGTTACATTTATTGGAGTTTTTGAAATATCTACACTCCGTATTATAAAAGACATTTGGTCTTGATGACTTGTATCTGGCGTGCAATCAAGTATGATAGAGAAATACTTTGTTTTTATAACTTTTTCAATAATCTTGTTCTTAATTTCACTTGCCAATAAATTTATTAATTCATTTTGTATATTATGTCCAAGATAATGATTATGAATTTCATCATGTTTGATTCGTCGAATATGTTTTTGCATAATTGGATCAAATTCTGCAATCATTTCAATAAGACTCAAGAAATTTCCGTTATTTTCTTGATAGATTTTTTCATTTTTCCCCCTAAATGCCAAATTATTTCTTCCAAAAGTTTTTATGACAGAAATAATTCTTGACAATACATTTTTCCAATGTTCTCTATCTCTATTAATTTGGTCTTGAATGTTTTTATCGATTGTTTTATTATTACGCAATCTAAATTCTAAATCAATCCATGAACTCATATTAATAATATGTTGGCTAGTTGTTTCATGGGTTCTAAGCTTAGTAGTAAGATTTTTCCAATCTCTACTACCTTCATTAGCTAACTTATTATTCTTTGCATTAAAGGTCGTATTCAGAGGCGTATCCAGGATTTCGAGATGATGGGTGCATTATTACAAAAAGGTTGATCTAAAATATAAATTTGATCGGTTGGACATTTAGGTTCTTATTACTGAAAACCGTTAAAATTAATATTATAGGTCCAAAACTAATTAAAATGTCAAATGTGTTACCAATAACCATTTAGAGAGGTGTTATCTAATTTTACAAAGAAAAATAAAACAAGATGAACATAAAATTCAAATTTCTAACCTCACGTAGAGAGGTGCACCTAGTCATCATCGCATTATATGATACTCCGAATATGGGTTCACACATCTATATTTCAATATTTTTCAAAAAATATAACACTACTATAAATGATCTCGGGAGGGGAGCATGGGTTCACGTGAACCCGGTGACCCCTCCTTGGATACGCCTCTGGTCGTATTAAATAACTTACAACAAAAACAAAATACCTTATTCAAATCTTTGGAATAAACTAACCATCTTCTTGTTATACCCCATTTTAACCGGGTCAAAATAGTGTACAACATTTTGGTGATTTCTAAAGTAATTAACTAAGTCAAGAAGTCGCCACCTAATTATTACGGTGAATTAGGACACCTAAATTAATTAAAGTTATTTTCTAAAGTTAACTTTATTTTAAGGTCTACTAAACATGAAATTCTAGGTAAGAGTTCAACTAATCTAAAGGGAAGGGGTTAGGCATCCTTTAAGATCCATTAAAAAATGGTTAACCGGCCGAACTTAGTTAATTAATTATAAGTGTTAAAATAAAATATAGATTTTTGAAATACGAGAGTAGTACTATAAATATGTAAGTTTCTTAAATTTGAAATTTGAAAGGTGATCTCATGAGTTGAAACCACTCTTTATCTTGGCCAAAAATACCCAAAGTAAAAGATAGCGTAGAAAATAACTTTTATCCAAAAATGGTTTTGATCTTGTAATAAAATATATTTTTTGGAACTAATCAAATGTAGTAAGATATTTAAAAGGTACCAGTCCATCTATGGAGAACGTTTGAATTTACAACAAAGTTAAAAAAAATATCTTTGATTAGTTTACACTTATGAGTGATTAAAAATATCGTAGGTAACTAAAAAAAAACATTTCTTTTCTTTTTGCTATTAAGCCAGACTCTAGGGAATAAGTTGATTTTATTCATATTGTTAAACTAAGTGACTCACCAATAAAGTATTCAAATAGAGATCAAATATGTCTAGATTGTAAAATAAAGCAATCACAGCAAACCAAATAATTTAGCAAGCATAATGGTAAAGAATAGGCTAGACAACTAATTGGCTCTGGAAATAGGAAAAGCAAGTAAGTGTTTTATCAAAGTATGAATGGTCAATCCCATGTTCGGTTTATGCAAGCTCCGTGTGACAATGGTGCCGTTGAGTCTCATGGTGAGACTCTTCGGCTCCGGTATGTACATGTAAAGATAAGAAAGAAAAATGAGAATTAGAGAGTTAGGAAAATCAACTGTAACAACTTCAAATTAAAAACATATAAAGCAGGTGACATGTAAAGGGATTAAACAAGTCATAAAACATAATATTAGCTTAACTAATATCAAATGGAGGTTTGAAAGAGATAAATTGTGTTCATAAAAATTCCCAAGTCTTCATCTCGAACATACACATACAATAGTTGAAACTAGAGAGATTCCTATAATATATGATTTTTAGTCTAAGGGATAACAATGACAGACAAACAATTATATGTACAGAATTTCATGACACTCACATGTTTACAACTATCAGACCGAGCGATACAAGGAGGTGAAAAGACTGGCCTTTCTTACTATCCCCATAGATATCAAACAAGTCAAGGCGAGCAACAAATAAATTGAGACATCATTTATGTAGACTCGTGTTCATTCGGAAAAGATACAAAGACGATAAACTTGATTTGTGAAAAAATGGACAGCAATTCAAAGAACTTAACAACCACATATTTACAGACTCGTATACTAAAACAAACTCAAAAATCACAATTACATTTCTGTCTGCAAAGGCCAACAGAAAAACAGAAACAAGATAAACTTGGAACTAAAAATGAAATCACATGTTCATGGAACCAAAATAGATGGAGGCGAGAAAAATATGTAAGTGAATAAAAGGATGAATTTTACCTTTTGTGGAGCAGTGAACTGAGCGTTATAGGTCTCGAATCAATACTCTCGTAGCGAACAAATTCAAAAGCTTTAAATTGCCTCTGTCCTCGTCCAACAGAAACAAAGAGAGATTAAAACGTCTTTCTTAAAGTTGTAAAAACTAGCAAATATGGAGGGGAAAGAGGCGGCTGAAAAACTTCTCTTTGTGAATGTATAAGGATGTATTTATAGGTGAAGTTTAGGGTTATGGTTTGTTGGGAGGGAAAATATCCG